TCAATCACCCTCGATAATATCATATAATTCCATTAATATAAAAAATTAAATATATATAGAGAGAGATAATCAATATAAATATTAAAATATGATTCTGATTTGGTGAAAAAAAATTAATAGTGTGAATGTCATAAATTAAACTAAAAACGTTGTTACTGTAGTAACTTTTATAGTATTAATCGAAATTATTTGATCAATAAATTTGATATCAATAATTAAACAAATATGTTTCTAGTAATGTTTTAGAAAACTAAATTAATGTTTTTAATATCAAAGCATAGGGTTTGTGGACAGCATGGACTTGGGCCTTTCTAAGGTTTTGAGGGCGTTAAAGCCTATAGCTTATTTCAAGATTTGTGGGTTGTAGAGATTAGGTTTTTTCATGCTTTGTGGGTTCAAAGACTAATTTTCTCAAGATTCATGGATTTTTTATCTAAAAATAATAATATAATTAATGTCAATATTAATAAAAAGATAATACATTTTTTTTAAATAAAAAGATAATACAATTAACGTTAGTATTGACAAATAGACAACATAGTTGATATTAACTTTGACGACTCTGACCATTCTTTTCGTTAGTTCAATTTAAATTAATTAAAATTAAAAATTTAGATTCTACAGAAATGAAAATATTTTAAAAAAAATTAAATAACCACCTAAAAATAAACCATTATACCCTTCAAACGATCAACTTCACTATAAATAATGAATTAAATTGTATTATACGTCCTCAAATTATGATTTTTATTTTAAATTGATTCTTAAATTTTTAAATATTATAATTTCATCCTTAAACTACAACGTTCATTCTAAACCAGTTCTCAAACTTTTGAATATTTTAATTTCATCTTCAAAATATGATACTCATTCTAAAATGGTACCCATATTTTTTAACGATCAATTCATTTTAAGGAAATAAAATTTATGTTAAGCTTATGTTGAAACTAATTAAATGTCAGGATGATTTTTGGGATAAATTTGGAAGATTCAAAAGTTTATAGACCAATTTAGAATGGGAGTGGTAGTTTGGGGATTAAATTATAGACCAATTTAGAATGGGAGTGGTAGTTTGGGGATAAAATTGGAATGTTCAAAAGTTTATGGACTAATTATTTAAAGTGATGGTTATAATTTGAGGATGAAAATAAAACATTCAAAACTTTGAGGATCAAATTAGAATATAAATCTGAATTTAAGGGTATATGATAAAAATAACTCTAAATAGTGTGTAATAAACTATTGAAATATAAACGCTAGCTAGTTTGACTAGACAATATGTGCAAGGAAACATTGCACCACAAGTAAGTAGTATCTTGCTGGAACACTTTCGAACATGGTTTTTAGAACTGGATCGGTCAACGAATCGGTTGTGCTACCGGTTCATTAATTTAACCGGTCGTAAGAACCGGACGATGTCATAATTATTTAAAAAATTAATTAAAAATACCAAAAACATTTAATAAAAAATCAAAAAATTTAGGTTGAACCGATTCACGGTCTGATCCGGTTTGAGCGGTTCAAAGCCAATTCGAACGGTTTCTTACGGTTCACTAGAACCGGTTCAACCAGGATAAAATGGACGGACTAGGCAGAGGTTTCCGATTGAACCGACCGATCCGATTTTCAAAACACTACTTTCGAGTGAAGAATGAACTTTAAGAAAGTCTTCAAACTTTATATAACGTGAGCGGGTTTAGTAAGGTTAGATCTCAAAGACGACCGAAGACAAAATGAATATATATAAACACCATATTTTTAATAAATAAATATATATATATATATATAAATATATATAATATATATATATATATATATATAAATATACCTATACAGTATGCGTAAGTGCCACGAAATACGTAGGACTTCGAAATTTCTATGAAAGCAGCAATAACTTGTGACATTGAAACCCTAAAATAGTAGTAGTACATTAATACAGCATCAATGGCGATTTCTGAGTCGTCATAAGCTTTCTTGTTTTGCTTTTGCATCAGGCAAACACACATCCGACATAAAGGTACGTACAAATACAACAACAGGTTGATCATCATTTGGAAATCAAAGGCCAAATACAATCCCTTTACTCTTCTCGGCTCTTGCTTCCAACCATCTCCAGATGAGTCAAGCCTCTGGGGAAAAACAGAACTCTGTAATTGGCACCATCCAGGGCAAGTAAAGGTGCTCGAAGGACCATCCTGTGGGTAACTGTATGAATCGGGGCTCCGCATCTTGAAAAACCTCGAGAAATCCGTCGCATTACAGCTTCCGGGCCCTTGAGTACAACAGTATTCGTTGGTCTTAAACACTGCATGGGTTGTTGCACCCACCGGGAGCCCTTAACACACTCGGACTCTGCCCGTCGATGTCCGCGATGCCCCGGATATTGTGACAACCGCCGCTAGTCGGACCAAACACCATGGGGATGTTGAAACCATCAACTAGGGAAATATGGTAGAAATCCAAGTTTTGATATAGATTAAGTCGTATTTCGGCCAGGGTATTCGGTAGAGCACCCCGGCCTTGGCACTGTAGGAGTCCACCACAGTCGCCGGTTTGGCAACGACCCCTACCACTGCCATCGATATTACAATTGGTTCGACCCCATATATGAGCCGTGGGCGTGCCAGCAGGCATGTTGATTGTCCCACTTTGGAACGGAACTAAGCGACGACCACCGCCGGGAGAGGCTGCCGCCCATACTGTGTAGGAGCACTCATTGCGGATCTTAACGATGCAAGGGAGATTGCATTTATTTTAAATAAATCTGAAACCAAATTACAATTTAAAATTAAAATTAAAATCAGAGATCAAAAAGTACAATACCTGACAGCATTCGGATAGCATGGACAGAGTACCATCAACAACCGCATCAAATTCCCACATCGATTTACCGTTTTATGTGGAGACAAGCCCAAACATGATGCGTTGAATCTATAGTAATTATAAAAATCTTGACTACATGCAGAAGTCTTTGTGAGATATTTTATCATTTCTGGATTTAAACAGAAGGTTTTAAATTGACCAATACAAATCCCTTTCAGCCATTAAACTATTTAACAAGCTTGTGTAAGCTTGTTTGTCTCACTAGGCGTGCGCTGCTATCTACCAACCACGACCAACAGGAAATTTCCCATAAAAATCTCAGTCAACATCAACTTCATATTCACAAAAATCCAACTCAAAGAAACAAATCGAAGAGTCTCCACAATATTACCCAGAACAATCAGGCTTGAGAAAGTTTGTCAAATCTCAACCGAAGAATGGAGAAGACAGGGGAAGCAGTGAAAGAAGAAAAGAGAATATGTTTTGGCGATTGCTCGTAGGATCACGCCGGCTGATTCACCTGTGACATTCAATTCTCAGGCTCAGCAGCGGCAGCCCTTTCCAACCCCTTCGCCGTTCTCTTTCTCCGTGGCTTCTACAGGGTGGAGCTCCAGATCTTCCATAAATCATCACTCGACTCTCCTCCTTCGGTTCTCGGTGCTTCTTTTCTCCTTTATCTCGGCTCTCATACTCGCTGCCCCTTCTACAAAGAAGAAGCACCAACCATCTCTTAGCTTCACTGACTACCCTGAATTAATGTAAGCACAACCTAATTTTGCCTTTAATTATTCACAAGATTACGACATAGTATTTCAGATCACCGGAGATGGTTGTTTGTTTGTCTCGGTGTAGATACTGCTTCATCGTAGCCAGTATAGCTTTACTATACGCTGCTTTACAGCTGTTTAAAGGCGTTTGTGACATTGCTCACAGAGGCATTCTGATCTCAGATAAGGCCTCAGATTATGTAAGCTTCGTCCTTGATCAGGCAAGTGCATTCCCCCGTCACATATCTCTACCATTTTCACTTGCTAATTTACGGGGTTGCTATGTAAACAGTTGGTGGGTTACCTTCTCGTGTCATCGGCTTCAGTGGCGGTGCCGATCATTCGACAGGTTGAGCGAGGCACACCACTTCGGAAGGGAGCCGTAGTATCGACCACCATGTCCTTCGCAACATTTATAGTAATGGCAATCTGTGCGGTCTTATCTGGCTATAAGCTTTGCAAGAGAATTGGCTGGTGATTTTGCTCTATGGTTGCTTCATTCTACGACAACCAATAACTGTTCTACTGTTTTAAATTAAAAAAAAAATCCTTAAATCTTTCAAATAACTGTTGATTTTAGGGATGATTATTGATCGAATTGATCACAAGGTAAACAATGTTTAATTCGATTTGAAAACTGCAAGACTCATACTCGATTCGTTACTAGTTAAACTCGTTAAAATTTTTAACTTGTTATTAATAATATATAAAATTTAATATAAACATGAATTAAAAAATAATAAATTAAAAATTAAAAATATATATGTGAAGCAATTTCAAAGTTTAAATTCTAAGGTAAAAATTCATAAATACATTGATATATTAGAACTAAAGTAACAACCCACAAATACACCAAACAACATATTACAACAAATCATTCTCAAAAGTAAAGCAATCAGCATTCTAAAAATATTAAAAACAGAGTCATCTTAAATCTTAAGATCTCGAATCAAATTTAAATTTAAACCAAATCAATTTAAGTCAAATGTAAAATTTTTTAATTAAATCGAACTCAAATTACTCACAACTGTAGAATTTAGTTGGCACCTATGTCTTAGGTGGTTCGTTTAACCTTGTTTTTGGGCTCTCCAAGTCTAAAGTATCCTTTATATACCCATCAAAGAAAAGTTCATCTCAAAACCTTAGGTTAAAACCGAAATAATTCTTTTAATTATTGAAATAAATTGATTTATACATTAAAATATTTAATTAAATATATTTAAAATATAAAAAATAAATAATGTAATTTTTTAATTAATTATGATCCTCATAAATGAAGTTGATATATGGAAAAAGAAATTAGGTTTTCTAATTAATCATTGACATAAATGAAGTTGAGAGGTGTTGAAAAATAATAATTTCTTCCTTTTTTTCCCCCTCTTTTGTTTTAATAAGTTTCCTCATCTCGTTTTTCCTTCTCAAATTCTGCTCCATTATTCTCTTCTCTTATCATTTACTCCACCCGGAACCTTCTAGAAATAACAAAACCTAGCCTCCCATTTCCCCCCTCTCACACAACATGCCAGCTTTCAACTCTATATTGTGTTGAAAACCTTTGATTCAACGGTGTGTGACCGCGCGAGCCAGGTTTCTTGTTACTTGTTTGGTTGATGGGAAAAATTTTGCTTTCTTTCCAGGTATGAATATTAAAATATTTTGACATCCACTTATTCTCCCTGTTAGATTTGAACATTTCAATTTCTTTTGATGTATTTCTTTATGATTGGCGGAAGAAACGGGTTGATGTTGTAATATTTGTTCATCAACTATATAAAAATATCACAGCAGCGGGAAACTGTTTCCGTTTCTGTGAATCTGAATAAATAAATGAATTTTAGTGTTGGATTTGGACGACTAAAGTGGATATTTTCAGCTAGAAGCATCCAAGATATTTCTTTGTTCATTTATTTATTTTATCTCCCAATAACTTTCTCGGCTAAAACGTACGCTGTTATTTTTATTTATCAGCAGCAGTTCAGGAACTAAAGGAGAGGCGGAGGAATATTCTCTCTTTCGAGAGGACCGAACCTTATGGCCTGCGAACCCGCAGCCGGTTTTGCCGCCGACTCGCAGCGATCTTTACCGACTCCGTTCCTTATGAAAACCTATCAGCTAGTCGACGATCCCTTCGTTGATGACTTGATTTCATGGAACGAAGATGGATCGGCTTTCATCGTTTGGCAGTCCGCGGAATTCGCTCGTGATTTGCTCCCTAAATACTTCAAACATAACAACTTCTCCAGCTTCGTACGCCAACTCAACACATATGTAAGTCTTCAAAATTGATGATATCAAAAAGTATAATTTTATCGTCGTGAGAAATTAAATTATTTTATGATTATCGTTACTATTTTAGGGATTTAGGAAGGTAGTGCCGGACCGATGGGAGTTCGCTAACGATTGTTTTCGAAGAGGCGAGAAGGAACTTCTCCGAGACATTCAGCGCCGTAAAATAACGACTGCTTTTGCTCCTGCTTCGGCGACGGTGACCGCTCCGGGCGTTCCTTGTAAGGTATACCCCTCGAACTCGGTCGATGAGCAGGTAATCTCTTCGAACTCGCCTCCCGTAGCTACCATTGTGCACCGGATCACGAGGTGCACGACTAGACCGGAGCTCTTAGAGGAGAACGAGAGGCTTAGAAAAGAAAACATGCAGCTGAGCAATGAGTTGAATCGGTTGAAGGGGTTGATTAACAATATATTAACTTTGATGACCAACCATGGTTCAGGTAACTTTGAGAATCATTCAGATTTGGCAGAAGGGAAGGCGCTAGATCTATTATTAACGAGAAAATTGGCTAGTAACACAGAAGACAGTAGTCCGGAGGAGGCAACGGCGTCAGCGGAAGATGTGACGCCGAAGTTATTCGGAGTTTCCATAGGAGCTAAGCGCGTGAGGAGATAAAATAAGGATGAGGATCATAATAAAAATCAAGTACGGCAGCAGGATGTTGAGCCTGGATATGAGGTTAAAGAATAACCGTGGATAGAAAAGGTCATGATCAAAGCATCGACGTGGCTGGAGCTTGTGAAAGGATCAACGGTATATAAAGCTATTTGATTTTGAAGCATTGGACGGTGTGGATGAAGATGGAGGAGGAACGTGGTCCTAAGGGAGTGTTCTTCGAGGTGTTTGGAACATGACACGTGGGGTGAGGAAGCATTTGTTTGTTCTGGAATGTGATACTCCCAGTTCTAGAGGAGAGCGATGTTGTGAAGCAAAAGCCGTATATGTAATGGGATCCAACAATGTCGTGCGACGAGAAGGGAGGGCCATCATCTAAGATGGTAACCCTATTGATTGAGATAGAGAGTAAAATTTGATTCGATTTAAAAAATCAAAATTTTGATTTAATTTGATTTAAAAAGTATTGACTTGAATTTATTTTAATTTGTAATTTTATAAATTTAATTTAACTCAAAAAAATCAAATTTAAATAAAGTTGTAAAATATAATTTGAATAACTCGAAATTTTTAGTAATTAATGAATTTATTTTTAAGTTTAAATTGAGTTTTTAGATTTTATATAATATATGTAAATCACATAAAAAAAATATGAAGAAATATATTTGTGTTATATATATATATATATATATATAGTTATAGAAAATTATTTAAATTGGAATGAAATAAAATTATAAATATTTATAATTAAATTTAAATTAAAACTTCAAAAATTGATTGGATTAGAATTTTATAAATTTAATTCGAGTCGAAAAAATTTTAAATCAAATTCGAGTTGTAAAATAAGATTTTAATTTAAATAATTTAAAATTTTCTGTTCATTGGTTCGTTGGATTCGTTGAACCCATTTTTGGTGATTCTCAAAATAAAATAAAAAGTCCTAGAATTAAACCAAAAAAAACAGTTAGATCTAGAAACAAAAGAGATTTACGGGGTTTTTTTCTTTTTTCCCCAAGGGGATTTAGATAGTTAGGGTTCTAAGGAATGGTGGAGATGGATAGATGACATATGGAGAATTGACGATGGTGAAACGGGTAATTTTATCTAAATAACACTCTAAAAATTAAATATTATCTGTCAGATATTTTTCTCTAAATATTATCAATTTAACATCCTTTTTGAAAAAGCGTAGATCATGAGATTCATCTTCGTAAGGTTTTGTCTGAGTCGGCACCACAGTGAAAAAGTACGGATCATGAAGCGCGCTTTTGCGGGGTTTTGTCCAAATTGGTGCCACTTAGCAAAGGCGTGAATCATAAAGAGCACATTTGCTAAGAAATCTAACACGTGCAGAGAAGGCGCGAATCATTAGCCGTGTCTTCCATTATTCGCTTTAAATTATTGCACACTCTATTATTACATTAGTCTTAACTCTCTCGGTTATTCACTCATCCCCTCTCATATAAATACCCCGTAATGCAAACATCAAATCACACCAAAATTATTTTTACATTCTTCCTTCTATTAAGTTAAGTAGATTTTGTTATAGTTTTTAGAAGGTAAAATTATTTTTTATTATATTATATTTATTTTGTATTTAATTATTTGATTAAATGTTATTGTATTAATTATTTTGTATTATTTTTTACGGTTATAAAATAGAAAGCGATATCATATCTCGAAACATTTTACTAAGACGGTAACAATATGCTATCATATCTCAAGACGTTTGAGTTCATGCTTCAAGATTTGCGAGGAAAAAACGAGAAATGATACAATTACTTCAGCCTAATCAACAAAGAAATGTGGACAAATCATACGATGGTGGATATCGATATGGACACATAATAACCAACTTGGTTGATGCTATAAATTCAACCTTAAATGGGACGTGCCATTTACCAGTAATAGCTTTGGTTAAAATGACTTATTTTTGTTTGGCAGAGTTTTTTGCAAAGCTCAGGGGACATGCTTATTAAGGGTGGCAGTTTGTTCAAAATCCACTCGAATTCATTGTGATATGGATATTCGAGAGACGTCAAAAAAACAAAAGTTGCGGGCATTGTAGAAACATAGGTCATAATATGAAAAAATGTTAATCTCTTTTATCATCACATAATTGTTGATGTTGTGACGATGTAATCGTTGTTTATGAATCATCGGTTTGTGTTATTTCATTTTCCTTTACTTTTAATTAATGTGCTACTCAAGTGATGAGATACTCAAGTGATAATTAAATTTAAAAAAATTACAAACTAAATAATAAAAACACTAAAAACAATTAAATACAAACGTTACAATTCAAATAATTAAATAATAAAAACATTAAGAAACAAAATTAATAAAAATTCCATAATTAAATAAAAACATTAAGAAACAAAATAAATAAAAACAAGTTTATCGATGGTTGTGTCTTTATGTATTCCACAGGGTGATGGTTGTCTATTTCGATGTGGATTTCTTCGTATAAGTTTACCTTCTTCCTCACTCTCAACATCATCAGTAGCTACATTTTGCTGATGAGGGACGTATAACGATGTAGCACCTCTATAGAATTGGGTTTTTTCAAGCTCTGAAGTATACATGCTCCCATGTCATAATAGCTTACTCTTATACTCGTCTAAACTATAACCATTTTGTAGATCTCGTTTACCGACTTTCAAAAGTATTTAAGGTATATGAATTTGAGTTTCCCCATAGGTAATGAGAAAGACAGATGAGGTTCAGAATTGGCTTCCGATTGTACCAGTTTCGTCCTTATTAAGGGTGGCAGTTCGTTCAAAATCCACTCGAATTCATTGTGATATGGATATTCGAGAGACGTCCAAAAAAAACAAAAGTTGCGGGCATTGTAGAAACCTAGGTCATAATAGGAAAAAATGTCAATCTCTTTTATCATTACGTAATTGTTGATGTTGTGACGATGTAATCGTTGTTTATGAAGCATCGGTTTGTGTTATTTCATTTTCCTTTACTTTTAATTAATGTGCTACTCAAGTGATGAGCTATTCAAGTGATAATTAAATTAAAAAAATTACAAACTAAATAATAAAAACACTAAAAATAATTAAATACAAACGTTACAATTCAAATAATTAAATAATAAAAACATTAAGAAACAAAATAAATAAAAACAAGTTTATCGATGGTTGTGTCTTGATGTGTTCCACAGGGTAATGGTTGTCTATTTCGATGTGGATTTCTTCGTATAAGTTGATCTTCTTCCTCACTCTCAACATCATCAGGCTATATTTTGTTGATGAGGGACGTATAACGATGTAGCACCTCTATAGAATAAAGACCTTGAGGTGTAAGACTAACTGCTCATAGAAAACTGTAGCACCGCTCATAGAAAACTGTAGCAACGCTCATAGAAAACTGCAAAAACATCGACATCGATGAATACAAAAACTGAGTCGGAGGTTTTTGTGTCTCTGGTGAAGCATAACCCGCCAAATAAGTAGTATATGAAGACTATGCTGGATCTATAAGCGTGGGAGTATATATGCCAAGAAGAGTCATAAAACCCTGTAGTGGCGACATATGAAATGGTTGTGATGGCATCGAAAACAGTTGCAGTGTCATTTGAAATAATTGTGGTACCATCTGAAACAGCTGTAGAATATAAGTCAGTGATTGTTGTAATGGTTACAGTGCTGCAGCTGAGGACAAGTCAGAAGTTCCTGTTCTCCGTCCACGAGTCATGGGACGATAATGTTGTGACGGTGGACGGTTTTCTCGATGCCGACGAATGCTCCTACCTCGTGCTTCCTCAGAAAGTAGGAACGACTTCCCGTTCGTGTTTAACCACTGATAATAGTCATCCGCAGCCGAATAATAATCCACGTAAATTGGTTCCCTATGAGGAATGCGTCAACGACGATCCTCCAAAATCATTACCCGCTCGATATGCTTCATCATCTAGTTGACTTCTTTTTTGCCACGTTTATCGATGTTATGCATATTGGCGAGATTACTATATGCTTGATGAATAGATTGTACGAAACTAAATTGGCGGAGCACGTGATCAATAGGATGTCACTCGACAATAACATAACATATCAGAGGGACCACCACCATCCATACATCTAATGGGCCACTCAAGTGAGGTGGGATGCAACGCCTCATTTTTTCAATAAAATAAGGAGCTCATTAAAACTAAAACAAATATATATAATTTTTATCAAAACAATATTCTAATTATATAACGATAATTAAAGGTAAATCACGGTGATCAATGAGCAACCGATTTTCTTCCAATTCATCTGGTATATCACGGTGATCTTTCCTTATAGATGACCACCTATTTAGTGTAAAAAATCATTATATACTCAAAATATTATTTATATACAAACTTAGTATTGAAATTACCTCAACAATGACGATAATTTTTTCAATAATCAGTGACTCGACATATTTCTCTATACAAAGATGTCAAAACCATGGAGCCCCAACAGAATGAGCCATCAACTCAAAAACTTGCGAGATAACGAAACCATAAACAATGAACTTGGTTACGAGATTTATCGGGCATCAAGATCCCTCCTATGAGTTGCAATATGCAAGATTGGGAAAATATTTGAACATGTTCCTCGGAATAGTTGTCACTCAACTGTCGAAAATTTCTAGCCAACCATGATAACGGTATTCGACAACCGTTGAAATTAGACGGGATACCTCCAAGATACAACTTGCACAAGGAATGCCAATCACCATCCGCCACACCAGAAATAACAATCCATCTATCGAAAGCCCCAAATGTAATGAAACATCCTCCAACATAATAGTGCACTCCCAGACAATGAAGATGAAATATGTGTATCTTTGGTCTCCACCTCTCAATCAAGGCAGAAATAAGGTTGGATTCAAGGTCACAGTGTCCTTCATATTTCGCTATGTAACCGAATCCAGCCTCAACTAAATACGGCAAGACACGACTCAATATCTCTAATTTAGATAAATGGATTTAATATACGGTCATTCACCTAATTAACTAAATAGTATACAAATTAAAATATAAATTAATACTAAAAAATAAATGAATAAAACATTTATAATAAATAAAATAATAGAATTTAAAATTATTATCGTATTGGCAAAATGACTCGATATATGATTTTCATCTAAACACAACAACTCGCCTACCATTTTATAACTGCAGAAAGTAATAAAAAAATAATACAATAAAATATAATATAATAAAAAATTATTAAATGATTATAATATAATAAAAAATTAGCTTCTAAAAACGATAATTTACTTACTTAAAACTTAATGGAACGATATATAAAATGAATAAATAGAGTGTTTTTTGTGTCGTATGAGTGTTGGATGAGATGTATTTGTAGGTGAGGGGACGGGAGTTGAGTGGTATTTAAGTCGGGACGGTTGAGATTTAAAGCAAAGGCGCACTTCATGATCC